TAAGCATTCAGGCTTTTTCTACAGGAATACCGGCTTCAGAGATGCATTGGTCTAGGTGTGAATCTGAGTTTAGCCACCCACTTAGCTGTGCCCTTGAGAATGTAATTAACCACTCTGTGCCTTAATCTGTGGGAAAGGGGGGTAAAATACAACCAACCAATTGTAATCATCTAGTGGGTTAATGTTTGCAAAGCTGTTGGATAGTAGCACTCAATAAATGATAGCTTTAAAATTTCTAAAGCTCTTTATTCATCACAGGGGGCCAGGAAAAGAATAACAACAACAACAAAAAAAAAAAAATGTGAGAAAGTGACACAGTGCCTGGTTATTTCAAAGTTCTCACTCAAAGCTATTACCTCTCTTAGAAAGAGTGGGACTTCCTAAATCACCTACCCTCCTACAAATCACTTCTTCTCTGGGGTTGCTGTAAACAACATTAGCCTAGATGGCAAGTTATAATTTAGAGTCCATCCACCCCCTGGAGCTTAGTACACAGTGTGTCTCTCAGGGAGACCACAGATAGAAGGCTCTTTATTCAGTCAACAAATGGAACCTCTCCTGTGTATGGTAAGGATGGACTAGTGCACGAAATAGAACTTGCCATTACCCTCTCAGAACTTACAGTCGGTGTGAGGATCTTATCCCTTTGTCTCTCCTAAACTCTCTAGCCTTTGTCTGAATGGTTCAGGGACTTGAATAGCAAATTGGTTAAAATTACAGTGGCAACTCTGACCAACTAGAAGTGGTTTAGTAGAGCACTGTGCTCAGCTATGTACTAGTTCGATAGGGAAGGTGCTATGGTTGATTAGTGATGCCTACCATGAAGGAAGGAGAGAGAAGTGGTACAAGATGTCCCACTGATAGGAACATTAGCCTCTCTGCACCACAGAACCTTCTTAAGACTATGAATCTAAGCGCGCACGCGTGTGTGTGTGTGTGTGTGTGTGTGTGTGTGTGTGTCTGTTTTGGGGGCGAGCGTAGTTGAAGAGCTGAGTCCCCAGCTCTGGAAAAGGTGAATCTGCAGATCTGGCAGACTGAAGTCCCCAAGGAAGAAAGAAATGGCCATAGGATAATGGCACGGGATTATGGCTGGACTACTGACAGGCATGGCTGACAGAGAAGAACAGAGTTCACCATATACTGAGAGAAATCTAGCATGAGAAAAGGCCAGTGACAAGTGATAATCTAGCCCACTGATGCCATCATGCACTCTGTCTCCACACCCATTCAGTTGATCTGGGCATACTTTCCTTGGTGATGGATGTTATGCTGAGCCTGGGTTTGTTTGACTTAAAAGGTCAGCCTAAGAAGCAGGGACAGATTCAGAATGCTTTGCTGGTGCCTGAAATTAGTGCCATGGGTCTCGCCATCAAAACTTAAGGAGTTCCAATTATACAAACTCATGTGGGTTTGTATTTTTTTATTGGTACATCTTAGATATATACATAATGATAAACATTCATCATAGGGAGCTTGTACCTGTTCATGATGGTTTTATTAACCCATGCAAAATGGAAGATCTGGCTTGAAGGGAACTTAAGGATGATCTGCTCCAGGGTTCCTCAACTTCGGCATAACTGACATTTTAAGCCTGTGCATCATAGCTATTTAAATGCTAGTATTATTGTATATTTTCTTACATTGTTTTAAACACAAAGTATCATTAAACATTGCCAAAAATCACTCAGGGAGCAAAGTCACCTCTGATTAAAAACATCCCAAAGTGTAGAGAAAGAAACTGAGGTGACCTGCCCATGGAGCAGTTGACTTGTTCTTTGTTGTCCCTCACTGGAGAATTCCTTTATGAAGGTCCCCAACACAATGACAGGGTTTTAGAACTATGTACCTATTGTCCTTATATAGTTTATAATATGGCTACATGAAAACATTTAGAGTTAGCCTAGATTTCATTAGAGGACTCTCTGCTCCTGTCCCCTCTCCTGGGGGTTCTGGGTCTGGGACCTTTGTCAGTTTGCTTCCCACTCAAGTCTTACTTCAATCTGGTGTAGAACAAAATGTACCAGGTCCTAGAGATGGATGCCCTGTCACTTTCAAATCCCATGGTAGTGCTGCTGACTTGAATGTCATATTTGGTATCACAGGGCAACAAAGGAAGTAAGATTCATCTGGTGGGGAAGAACTCCAGGATTAGGAGATGAGCTGTCTCAGAGGTGGATAAGGTGACTGAGTGAGAAATGTTGTGGGCTGTCCATTTCACCATAAACATTATTTGCTTCTTTCTCAAAGGAAAGAACATCCCACTGTTAATTTGTTAGAGCTCAGAGTTGCCCACAGCATTAAAACTGGCACAGGGAATAGCATTACATTTCTATTATCTTTCTAATGCAGGCATCAAGACCTGCTCCCGCTAGGCTATTTCACATTTCCAACTAAAAAGCAAGCAATTTCAAAGGCATTTTGCTGGCCCTGGACATTTTCGATGCTGTGTGTTCTTTCTTGACTTCATTTATAATACCACCCCTATCAAGTGAGCCTAAGTCCTTATGATTACTAAAATGCCGAAAAGAAATAGCTAAATTTAGATCTTGATGGGGTGTGGAGAGGTAAGTGGCACTAAAAGTAGAGGCTACCGAGGAAAAGGAAAGCTTATAGGCCCCCTGCAATTCAATAAAATTTGAGTCACTAATTAAAAACGTGCACTATATTGGTAAATATGTACAGCCCAGATCTCTGCACCATGGAGAGATGTTGAGGGGAACTGTCTATTATCCACTCATTGTTGCACTGTCGCACCTGCAGTTTTGTGTTTGTCAATCTTTAGTTTGCTTTTGGCATTGGTGATATGATGCACCATTCCTGCCTGAGAGATTAAGCGGTTGGAGTTGTTAGGACACTTGTTTCTATGATGTGCTGAATACAAAATGTCCTGCTCTCTCTGCAAAGTTGATGCTCTTGCATTCAGATGTATTATAGGACTCACTTGTGCTGACAGGCCTCCTGAGAGACTGATGGCATATCAGAGTTGTCATGAGAAATAGAACTCAAGTAGCCTGGATCAGGAGATGATTGAATGGTACTGAGGCAAAATGTAGGCAGTAGGAGGTTGGTTTATGCTTTTAATGGTCAATATATTATACCATGGGAACCAATTACCTCCATCTCCACTTGAGAAGAGTTCTACTAAGAAGTCCAGGAATTGGACCAAATTCAGAGCTGGTCAGTGATCCCTCTCCTTCTAACAAAGCCACACACACACACACTGATGTTCAATGGCTTCTGTTTGCCTGGTCACTGTAAAAACCATCCCTTCTCCACTAACCCATTCTTCATGTACAAAGGTCACTGATGGTTAATCTTGTCAACTTGATTAGCTTGAGAGCTGCTTAGGAAGTCAGTGAAGAATACTTCTGGGTGTGTCTGGATGGGTCATGGGGGTGTAATCTTGGGAACCATATATGGTTCCTGGGCCCCTCCTCTCTGGGTCTTTTCCTGCTCTGTGTTTCCTGGCCACCATGCCCTTCTACCATGATGTCTCTGTCTCTCCACAGGCCTAAGGCAATGGAGTCAGGTGATTATGGACTGGAACCTCTCAAACTGTGAGCCAGAATAAACCTCTCTTTCTTTAAGTTGTGTGTATCACGTATTTTGACCTAGCAAAGGAAAGCTGACTACACAATCACAAAACTTGCATGCAGTTCTTTTTTATTTTTAATTCATTAAGTTTATTGGTACATTTCAGGTATACAGTATGATGACATTATCATTGGGCATGCAGTTCTTAATGATATTTAGTCCTAAGAAAGTGCCCTAGGTTCTTAGTGGGTCCTGGGAGTGTCTCAAGTCCTCTGTACACTCTGTAAAGGCTCTAAGTCTGCTCAATTTCCTCAGAAAACTCAGAGCATCCAGTGAGGTATGGGACTACTGATTTAGCTACTGACTACTCAGACAAGGAACTTTACCCCTAAGGTCCAGGGTACCTACCTACAAATACCACTCACCCACACCCAGCAGGTATTTGCTTTGAATTCTTCCTCCAACATGGAACAGGGTGGTTTTTCCCATATTTTTCACTCCTACTGACCTCTCCCCAACATAGTTCCAAGACTTGGTGGCCAGGGCCAGAATCTCTATCAGTGAACATGGAGATGCAACAGAGTTCTGACCCACACACCAACTCTAGTTAACTGTAGAGTCAAACTCAGCACTAGTCTCAGTGGAAGGAAAGACTGTAGAGAGGATGATTCAGGTTCCCCGGGCTTTCTGAATCTTCCCCTCAAAGAAGAGATTGACACAAAGATAGATGACTCTAATACAAAGGAGACTCTAACAAGGTCTTTAGATGCAGTTTCAACAGAGTGCTAGTTTCACTTTCCTCAGTGGACAGTGAGAAGAAGCCATGTCATGTTTGTTTCCTTAGCAGAAAGGTCAGGGTCAAGCTCATATTGGTACACAATAAATGTTTATGGAATGAGGGAAGGGCCCAGTTGAGGGAGTATAGCACACTTTCTCTCCAGGGACCACAGCAAGTCATTGGAAGACACTTTCCAGCTCTAACTGGATGTCCTCTTTCGGCTCTGAACTCATTTTCTCCAGGAAGCTTTAGATGTGGTCACAGGGGTACAGATTTCCTCCTTCCTCTCTGACCTCAGCTTCTTAATGGTCTTTCGTTCTGCCTGGGCCAATTGTCATGGGAACTGTGGAGGCTTAGACAGACACCATCACCAACTCCGGGGCCTTCCCTGGGAGATTTGGGAGCAATCATTCTTATAATACATGAAATCAGATTACACGAAGATAAAGGCATTTTAGGATGGATTTATTGGACGCAAAGAACAAGAAAAGCACTTATACAAGCCAAAGTCAAGGAGGCGGTTATTGTAAGGTTATACAGAAGTTCATGGAAATAAAGTAAAGCTCAGTCTCTTAGAAACTGAATTTGTTAGAGCTTGAAACACTGCCCTTCAACATTTATTTCCACTTTTCCACACGCCTAGTCATAGGTTATTATGAATGAACTGTCATGATTAAAAGTGGCTGAGTCTTGTATCTCCTCAGGAAAACAGCACCATTGAGTGACTATTATGGAGAAATTAAACCTTGTTCACAGCATTAAAAGATTCTGATTTCATAGCCACATAAGCCTTCTTTGAAATGACCTGTAGACCCTCTCCTCAACTTTTTTCCTCTGGGGCCTCCATGCTGTCTCGTGTTTGCATGAATTGGCTGCTTTTTCTCTCTGTAGCTTATTCAAGGAGCATCTCTGCTTCCTGATAACTTCAAGTTACTCTCAGCTATTTATTTATGTATGAATTTATTTATTTATTTATTACTTTGTAACACTGAGGACTGAACCCAAGGCCCTCATACTAGGGTATATCTTCAGTTCTTTTTTAATTTTTAATTTTTGAGAAAGGATCTAGGTAAGTCACCAAGTTACCCAGACTGAACTCAGACTTGTGATCCTCCTGCCTCAGCCTTCCAGAGTGCTGGGATTATAGGCATGTGTCATCATATACTGTCCATCTTTTATATGTGTCCGTCTTTTATATGTGCTCCCTAGAGCAAGCAACAAGAGGGAAGATTGCTGCGGCACGTAGTGGGGACAGGCTCCTCTGTCCCATATCCTAGTCCCCTTGTGCCATACACCACACTAGAAACAGCCTCACACTACTGTCTGCTTTCTAGCAACCTGGGTCTAAATGTTCCCAGGAGCAGCCAGGCTACGTCTTGCTGGACTGATCCTCTAAGGAAGGAGAAAGTTGTTCACTGGCAATATGCTCATCAGCTTACGACCTTGTAGCCAGGATCTACACAAGTGCAGGTTTTCTGGGTAGGAATAAACTGATCCAAACAGATCTGGGTTTGAGCAATTCAGTTTTAGACTGGATTTTCCTAATGAGCTGACAGGATTCTGGACTCCGAGCTGTACTCAGGAGAGTCTAGGTTTTATCTCTACGAATGACCACGACAGAACCATGGGTAAATCCCTCCCCAGCCTAGACTCAGGAAATTCAGAGTAGAAGTTTGCTAAGAGTCTCTTCTTCTTGAACATCCCTCAGCCAGCCTTTGCTTCACCACTGTCAGTGTCCTACTGTCTTCACCTGTGGAAACACATCTTGAACTGACAACCATCCCATTTCTGAATGTTTAGCTTCTCTTTCCATTTGTTTAATTCCTCTGGGGTCTGGCAACCTCTGGACCTTGCCAGTTCAAACAATCAGAGCTCAATGCCTTTGACTCTGGAGTTAGTCATTGTTTTTTAGTTGTCATTTGGGATTTGCCTGCTTATTTCTACTCTCCTCCAACTTGTTCCATGTCCTCTGCAGAGATCCATCAGGGGAGTCCAATTCCATGCCTTTGTGCCTAAGTCTAGTAAAGATCTGAGCTTTCATATCAATAGCTCCTTCGTGGTCCCAAAATGTGGAACTCTGATGAGACCACCACAGAACCAGTCTGCAGGGGATGAAAGGTGTGTTGCAGTTGAGAAGTTAGACCTGGAACAGGGTGGTCTGACCCTCAGGGCCCTAGTTGATTGCTGAGCTTTAATGCTGTGTTACTGGGTCAGAGGATCCAAATCCAATCCTATAGTCAATCCTTCCTTACATTGCTCGCCTGTTCTTCCCATCACATAGCACTCCTGCTTGTCTTCCTCACCCTGAGCTTCCCTGAGAGCTCCCTTATTAGAGCTCATTTGATTACTTTCCTTGGTTGTGTTCACATCCTCCAGTGAGCAGCTTATTTCCCTAAGAAAGCCAGGAGCCATACTGTAGGGACAAATCGCAGGACTTGCAGTGAATGTGCACACATGGAGTCATCAAGCCCTTGAGCTGTTTCTTTCTCTCAAAGTCCACTGTATATATCATCAATCAATGCCTTAGCTTTGGTTTGAATCTTCCAGGTAGAAGCAGCTATTGTTTATAACAATTCCATCTCTTCATTCTGCACGATGCAGATACCTCAGTGGTAACTTGTACACACCCTGGGAGATCCCCTGGCCATAACCCAGCCCTGGAGTGTACGCGTAGTCTGTCCTCAGTTGGATACCAAAGGATTGAGATGAGTGCAGGAAGCAGCACACCAAGAGCAAGGGACCAGAGAGAAGATCTAAGGGTGGCATGACTACAAGAAGGGGAGAGGACAGACGTAGACCAGGTGTCCCCCATGATTGGGGGGGCATCATTTGGACAAGTGCTTTCCAGACAAGAAGGATGGAGCTTCGATACCTCTGTTCTTTAGAAACCACCAAGCCGCCTGGTAAGCTTCATTCATATATGTGATAAAAGCTTATTGAGATTCTACCCTGATGTGTTCTGGGTAGATGATACAGAAATAAATCCTATTTCCTGCCTTACAAAACTGCCCCTTGAGGGAAAGAAACAGAGCGATATATAATTAAAGTGCCATGACATACATCTTTAGAATGGAGAAAGGTAAAGCGGGGAAACTGGCAATGCCCAACATCAGTAAGGTGCAGAGCAACTGGATTAGTCATACATCACTGGCAGAAATGCAAAATGACATGGCCACTTTGAAAGCAGTTTGGAATTTTCTTAAAAATGAAATATACCCTTATCTTGCAACTCAGAAATCCCATTCCTAATTATTTACCTGGGGTGTTGTGGGAGGTAAAAACTTACGTCCACATAAAAACTTCTACACAAATGTTTATAGCAGCTTTAGCCATAATTGTTCAAAATTGGAAACAACTTAAGTGTCCTTTAACTGGTGAATGGATTAAAAATCAGTACATCCATAGTTTAAAATATTTGATAACATGTTTGTAGAAATCTCCAAAGGACTACATTGAATGAAAAAGCCAGATTCAGATTCCACTTATGTGGCAATCTGGAAAAGGCAAGACCAGAAGAGAAAAGTAAAACCAGCTAAGACTGGTGGTTGTGAGAAGCTGGGGATGAAGGAAGTTGTTGACTTCAAAGGCGTGAGAGAGAAACTTTTGGAGTTATGGAGCCCTTTTGTGCCCTGCCAAGCTGACAGTTGCATAACCATATGTGTTTGTCAAAAATCTAAGAACTGTATGCCTAAAAAGCTGTATTTGTGGGGAGGGATTGAGACAGGGTTTTGCTATATAGTTTAGGCTGGCCTTGAACTCATTATGTAGCCCAAGTTGGTCTGGAACTCACAGCGATCCACCTGCCTCAGCCTCCCAAGTGCTGGAATTACAGGCGTGAGCCATCACACCTGGCTAAAAAGCTGTTTTACTCTGAGTAAATTATACCTCAGTAAACCTGACTGAAAAACAAAGTATCGTGTTGTTTAAATGCCCTGCTCTGGAATGGTCTTGGGGATTTGCTTTCTCAGAAAGTGACCCTTTCCAAGGGAAAGGGAATGAGAAGGAATAATAACAACTGAATTTAGAGGGCTACGTCTCATTAAAAGCGGAACAATATGGTGGCTAAAGGTATGGCCTAAATCTAAGATAGGCTGAAATACTGTTTTACTGACCAGGGAAGGACCCACGGGCCAGATTCTAAATGTACTTAGAAATGTCTTTATGTGGGAGGTTGGGGAATACGGGAGTGCTGGTATTTGAAATGTACGGATTCAGGAAGGATGTGGAGACTGTGGGGAAAGGAATAAAGATGAGGCTTTCATGGGCTGACCCTGTGTGTACATATGTGTAGGAGGTGGGGCAGAAATTTATTGACGTTCCTGGGAGTATGTTATCAGCTTGTTTCAAAGAAAATCCCTAGACAGTGACTGCAGTGGAAATAGCGAACAAGCAAACATAACATTCGTCTGTATCAGAATGGAGAGAGCTGTTGGGCTGAGCAGACTGGAGGCCTGATATGTCCAGCCACAGCCCCACTGGGGCCTCAATCCTTCCTACCTGCTCATTCAGCTCCCAGAAAAACAATACCCTTCTCTCAGCGAAGCCCACCACACAGAGCTGCCTGAGTCAACTGCAACCGGTTATGAACAGTGGCCCTTTCTCCAGAGGTTCTGGTCCCACAGGTGCAGCCACTTGCTAAATGGAAGCCGGGAGACCTCTGAGGCTGCTGCATTTTGTTTTGCTTCCGGCCTCTTGGCAGATGCCATTTGCTCAGCAAACGGAAATCCAAGGTAAGAAAGTAGGGTGCCTCAGGAGAACAAGTAGGGAGATAGTAAGGGGCCATCAAAAGGAGAAAATGCCCCTAGGGCAGTGGGACATAAAAGCCTCAATGACTTCAGGCATCTCTTTGGATGTCATCCCTTGGGGGTGCAAATGCCAAGGATTTAAGGAAAACAGATAGGTCTCATTTTCAGGAATGAATGTTAGTGAAAGGTTCGGTCTGGTCCAAGAATGGTATCAGAGACATGGTAGCCCTATTACCAGAAGAAGAGTCTGGAGCTGGACAATTGGGTTCATGTCCCTGCCCTGCCATTTATGGTATCTGAGCTCTTAGGCATGTTTAACCTTTCTTTGTTTGGAAAATAGAAATAGTTATAGTACCTACTTCCCAGGATTGCTGGTGAAACTAAATGCATAACCCACATTGTCTTAGAGCAAGCCTGGCTATTGGTAATAACTCAGGAAGAGTTGCAAACAGCAAAGGATTTTATTTCCAGAGTCTCCAAGGAATTGCAAAAATCTCCTAGACATTTCTGCTCCTCTTTATGGGGCTGGTGATGTTCTAGGACTGGCCTTATTTGTGGGATCCACTCAGTTCTTCACTCCAGCCCTCCTTTCCTCAGTCAGTTCTCTCCATGGCCCTACAGGGGCCAGCACTATGACCAGAACTGCTTGCTTGCGTGCTTGCTTGCTTTCTTTCTTTCTTTCGTGCTGGGGATCAACACAGGACCTTGTGTTTGCGAGGCAGGCACGGTGCCACTGAGTTAAATCCTCGGCCCAGCTTTACAATCTTAATTTCACCGTTTCAACCAACTGCCTATGCAAGAGTGTTGGGATTTGGTGAACACAAAGCCTGTATCTGCATCCCATGCATCCCAGATTGGCCACTTGATTTGCTTTCCTACCTATTATTTTTGCTTTCCTATCCATTCTTTCTCCATCTGCCAGGGCTGAAGTGGGGTGAGTGAATTGTACTTGTGCATGAGCCCAGCTGCACCTAGTAAGTGCTCAGTTGTGCTGCCTCTGTACTCATGTGGAGCCTCAGAAGCCTGTCCTCACTCTGCTTTAGCCAGTTTCTCTCGACTGAT